CATATTAGTGTCTTTTGGGTTTAAAGCAATTCACCCTCTACTGCTGTAGTATGGTTCACCTGGTAAAATGAGTAATTTGCACTAGCTCAATCTTTTTAAACAGAGAAGAAACTAGTGATTGTCAGCATCAGAAAGGAAAAAGTTTTTAATTTCAAGCAAATAATCATATTAAATGGATGAGCTGGGTCAAATGGGGTAACTCTGATTTGTTTCTCTCTCCTCAGTATGTCCTGAACTGAATCCAGACTTGTATTATGAAATGTTTTAAAGTAAAACAGTTTCTGCTTTCCAGAACTGAACATTAAAAAGAGAATAAATCTACCTCTTACTCTGTATTTATATTTCAGGCAATGGGTGAAAGTACTCAAAAAATTTCTAGACTAGATTTTTTTTTCAATGTTTAGGTCTCTGAAACTGTAGATTAGGATTTCTGAGAATGTAAGTAGTTGCACAGATTTCATTTTTAGGTCACTGGTAACTGATTTTCCCAATAACTTGAAAACACTAGCAGGACTTTAAAAACATTTCTCATTATATAAGCAATATTAAAATATGCTCCAGATTCTTAAGATCACATGGTTCTTTGTGATCTTTCAAAAAAAAAGTGAATAAATATTCAGACCTACAGTCCAGCTGTTTGCCCACAGCAGGAGCTAACACAGTTTTAGCCTGTCATGTACTAACTTGATGCATTAGCTTGATTCTCTGGTTTATAGGTTTTCAGTCTTCCTGCTGCCCAGAACTCAACCTTGGGCTCTCTAAGGGGCTACCTAAGGTAATGAATTGCATGTAAGTGCTGCCTTGTACTGACTGAAGGCACATAAATACTGTATGGGCTTTGACTAGCCTTGTCCACAAATTCTTAAACCTAGAAGTGAAGGTAACCAATCTGGCCTGATGCTTGCCTCAACAGGCTATGAGAAAACATTAAGGATGAAGCCAAACCAGCACAGTTGTACAGGCCCACAGTCACAGGGGAATATAATTTTTGAGGAATTTCAGTAAGAATTTGGAGCTTCTGTTCCCCACAATGACTTTTTCACAGGCAGGCATGGGTTTTCTGACTTTGTTTTACTTTGTGTAATTAGGCTGTTGATTTTACCTGGTTGTTCTGAAAAAGAACAGACAGATTCCTTCAAAAAATCATAGCTAAAATTGTTGTGTTTTCTTTACCCTACTGTAATAGGTATACTATCTTATTCCTCATCAACATTGAAAGGCAGAAAAAGAAGACATCTTTTCATTTTGAAAATTTGCTAGGTGTAAATAGATTTGATATAAACATCCTTCCTCCAAGCATAAACAGGAGGGTAAGAAGGAGGGTAAGAAACACCTCGTATGCCTTTAGCCATCAAAATGAATCATCTAATCCAATTTATTCATCCAGGTCCCTGTTGCAGTCAGCACAACTGGCACGTCTAAGTAGCAACTCATGAATTACCATGAGAAGTAGCTATCTGTCTCTTGCTTCTAGTGTGCCTTCATTAAGCATTTTGCCAATTGAATACCTCTTTTAGCTTCTGACCATCACACTCATGAAATAATTGGGATTTTATCCTCTGGCTCTTGTGTGTTATTTCTCATACATTAGTAGTTTCGTGTCTGTTAATCTTCAAGCATAAACATCTTTTTGCCTTTTGAAATGATTTACACCTTAAAACTTTTCATAGTTATCCAATAGCCTGAGAAAAGGGCTGAAGTGCAGAAGCTAATTTTGATTTTGTCACTGACAAGCTGTGTGTAGCCTTGGGGCTAGCCTGTCTCCTTGCAGCCTGCTCCCAGACAGAGGAAATATGTAGTTGCACAGCTCTCAGCAGCAAAATAAGGACCAAACTGTGACTCACTGTCACATTTCTATTTGACTCCTGCTTCTCTCTTGCTCCACTGGGGAAATAAGTTGTGGCAGACAAACAGCTGGCACAGAAACCTTGTCTTTCTCCTCTCCTCACCTTCCTGGATTAGATCAGTGCACAGTCTCCAGAGCATTGCAGCAAGCAGAGCTGAGCCTCTGTTCATTCTTCCCTGAGTGGGAGGATAAAGTGTCAGGGGATGCCCATCAACCTTGCACTGTGACCTGCAGGAGATTGGACTAGAAGGGACCAGCTATAGGGCTGGTGCTGGAGCTGCTGTGCACATACAGATTAAGCTGTACATTGGCAGAAGCCATTTCTCAGCGGTGTCAGCCTTTTTCTGTTCGTGTTTCAGTGGTGGCAGCTCCAGCTACATCTGCCACTGAGTCCAGTGTTCCTGTGTTCATAGAGACAGTGGAGTAATGTAGTTTGAGGCTTTTTAGACAAAGTCTTAAGTGGAGCGCAGAAAATATCCTGGCTGCTACAAGAATACTCAGTAACTGCTTAAATGTAATAGTAACAAGAGCAATAATTAATATTCATTGTAATAATATGACTAATACTAATATTAATATTAGATCCTGAGAGTATAGCAAAGAGTACTTAGTCTCTGTATGTTTTTTTATACAAGTTTAAGGACTTCCACTTTTTAATAGTACATTTCTGTGATTGCAATGACATGTAATACGAGAATGCTGAAGATAATCCTTTGGAATCTTCTCCTTAATACTTGACAGCTAGAGACATAGGTCCTGCCAGCTTTCTAAGGACATTTATGAATTGCTGTCTTCAGGGATCTCATTTTGTCTTTCAAGTGTACATCTCACCAATATTTCCACAACTAACAATCTGTAACTGTGTAAAAGAATAAGTAGCAAATGTGGTTTTTGGTACAAGTAGACACTGCAGGGTAATTGCTTATTTGCTACATATTTAAATTAATTAATCTGACAGTCATTATCATTCTGTTGACCTGAAAGAGCTCCCCATTGCTTCTCTTCATCTCCTGTTGTCCTGACACAGGCTGGAAGAAGGAGAGCTCTGAGATGTGCACCAGCACACCCTGCCAGGCCTGGGCCATCTCTCTAAACCAGCAACCACCCTGCCCATGGCAGTGCCTGCAGTGCTGTTGTGCCCTGATCTCTGATGTGTCAGCATGGTACCCCAAAAGGCAAGGAGCCCAAGTGTCTGGCTTAGTGACTGACAGTGGAAAAAAAAGTTATAAATACCTATTGCAAGGAGCAAGTGGTTTAGTCCTAGCAAAGTCATGATGAGCCCAGCAAATCATGGGCTGGAAGGTGGGATGGAAAACAAAATAAATTGTGTGAAGTAATAGGTAGTTGAATACTTTTTTGTTTATCCAAACTATATGTTGCTGAAGTTTATATCTAAACTTTCAGACTGTGAGTGCCAGTACTAGCCCCAGAGGAAAACAAACTGCAGTGAAATATTAGCTCCAGGCTGAATTCTTACTTTTTGCCATAAATAAAATTTTCATCTTGTGGATACAGTGTTTAAAAATCAGTCAATCACTACAAGTGCATTCCAAGTACATGAGAACAAAATGAAACTAAGCCCAACATAACTAAACTAAACTAATTATATAGTTTATTTCTCTGTCATGTGGAAGATCAGCTTATTGGGGAGCTGATGCCTCTTATCATCTAAGTCTATGCTTTGTACAAAAAGCCCCGCAGAAGACACACACTGTTACAGCTGTAAAAACACTCCTGTAAAAACACTATACAAACAAAATAAAAACATTTTCAGACTGATTTCTTTCACTCTATGGCATTTGATTTAATTCTAGAATCTTTAATTTTCTTACTTTAATAAGGTAAATGACTGGAAAGTCAAACTGGTTGGAAAGTCTTATATTTTTTTGCCATTAATTTTGGATCAAAAATCTCACCAATTTGGTTATTTCACAGAGTTGCCTCAAAACAGAAAATAACTAGTGTTTCCAACTAACTTAATTAAGAATATCTGAATAAACCTGTGTTAGTATTTGGGTTACAGCTGTCAGGCTGAGCCACCTGTTTTGGCAGTATTTGCAGCCAGAAGTAAATCATAGATCAGTCCAACTGCTGATTAAAAAATCCCATTGCCTCCCTGATGTGGCTAACCAGACATCAAGCAAGGATTGTGCTACTTGACACAGTCCTAACATCAGCCCTTAAGAAGGAAAAGGATCACCTTCTAATAGCCCTTAATGCAGATCCTCTTACAAGTATGAACAATAAAAAATGGAAGATGAAAACTACGTCTTTCATGCACTGAAAAACCACATAACCTTGAGAGAAAGAATAAAGTAATTCTCATAAGATTTTTTAAAAAGCATTTCTTTGTATTTTTGTCATTATTAAATATTTGTCATTATTAAATTTGGATAAACACTGCAAAAAAAAAAATTGGAGTGAAATTCAACTAAAATATTCAGTATTAAACATGGTTGCATTTTAAATATATCCTCCCCTCTGACTTCAGCTAATAAAATAGTATTATGCATCTAAAATGCTATTTAAATATGAATGTCAGGAAATACTAAAGTACATGAAACATTCACATTTTAGAATATGTATTTATTGGTTAACACAATTGCCTTTCATTTGTGCAGGCTGACATCTGGCATATTTATTTCAGCACAATTTTCACTGACTCCCTTAGAAGTTTACCTAAATAAGGATAACAGAGGGGGTTTTTACCTTTTACCCTTCAGTAACTTAATGTTGCGTTCAAAAATACTCTGTGTTCCCTATAGAAAAATCAGGGCCAACAAATGCAGCTATTCTGACTCTGGTAAATCTCTGATTCTAAGGAACTACCAAAACTTTTTCTGAGCAAAGACTTAGAATAGAACACCCTGAACTTCAGGCATTCCCTGTTTGTATCACTCTAATGGAGCTGCCTAAATAACGGTGTTCTGCAAATGAAACTAAGGTTATTTTTAGAGGTGTACATAGAGCTTGCTTCAGTAACTGGTAAAAACTAAGCCTACAGGAGTATAAAAGCAAAAAAGAAAAAAAAAAAAGGAATCCTGGAGTGAAAATATTTACTAAGAACAACAAATAATTTTGACATGCCAGTTCAATTATACCTTTAAAGCACATATCATTTTTGGTTTATTATATTTGAAAAGAGTTACTGTACCTTCTGCTGTTATCTCGGCCATGATGACGGTAAGAGGTACTCTGTTTAAAAGGTCAAGATTTACTGTGGCAGCTTAGATAGTACTTCTGGGTTGCTGACTCTCGCAGGAGTTGCAGAATGAGAAGGAGGGAGGTCCTCTGCTTTTCCTAATTGTGTTCCTTCTTCTTTTATGCACCCTGAAATGCCTATTTCCTCTGCAGACTTGGTCTCCTAGAACAATCCAAGGCCTTCCAGAGGCAACACTTAAAGCTCAGTCTAAAGTATCAGCTTCTAATAAAAATAGCCATGCGTCAGAGTGAACCTTCAGCACGTTTTTCTAATATCCTCGGAACCATGCACATCACAAATAAAATGTAAAAATTCACAGCTCTAAACAGGACAGGAATGCATAGAGAGGAAATAAAAATCAAAAGAACTGGGAAAGTACTGTTCAATGCTCCTACAGCCTTGCTAGCATTATTGCAGTTCTTTGGGGTGTATGTCAGGAAACATGAAATATAGAGTTCAAAGTAACCTTATCCATCCTAGTACAACTTTATTCTTAGCACACTCAGTGCTTAGCACATTCTTCCTGGCCTTATATGGCTTAGGGAGGGTCCTATGAAGCTCACAACTGACTAAGGGGGAGGGTAAATTTAGGTGATTTTCTCCACTTCAACTCTTATTGCAGTTCAGAACCAATTAAGACACCAATTTAAACCAATAAAATTGGCTTGGATTATTTTTTTTGGTCCTTTTCTGATTTGCTGCAATTATCACTTATACCTGTTAAGTTCATCTAAGTATTAGAGAACACTGCTAAAAATTTTAATAATAATATTTTATATAGACTAGATACATGAAGGCAATATGCAAAATATTAACTAGACCAGATTTGTTTTTCTGGGTCTCATTCATGGAAATATTTAAGTAGCTCAAACATTCTAGGATTTTTAAAAAGATTTTATAAAACTGATAACAAGTAGATTCTTAAAAACATTTAGAGAAAGTAAAATATTAACAATTCAAATAAGCATAATTATTTTAAAACCTGAGCAATCTTTTCCTTTTACTGCTTGCAATTTCACAGCTGTAGAATTATATATGTGGTCAACAGCTTGAAAATGAAATTAGCAGAAAAGTGCCCTCAAGCCAGCATACCTTTACGGAAATGTCATCGTCACATGAAACCAGAAACCATCTTAAACAGCTCTTGCTAGTGAACCTATAGTCACCTTGTCTCTGCTACACTTCTCATCTTTCCCCCAGGAGATGTAGGCACCTGGCTCTGTGGCAAAGTGTGGGGAAAGGAATCTATTTATCCAATGCACAAGATGGAGAAGCAAAGGTTCATTGAACAGCAAAATAACACCAGGTTTTTCCTCTTCCCTCTGCTCTTAACACACTTCATACCTGCCACCTGTCTGAAGATGGGAGCTTTATCTAGCCAAAGCTTGCAATCAGTGCTTGAGCCCCCTTCTTCTTTAGGTCTACTGACCAGATGTTTTGCACTGACAAGTTTTGATTACTTGATGCTAAGTACTCTGTGTTTTTCTGATCATCCCTCTAACCCTCTGTTTGCTCCTTTAGCTTGTTCTTCAGCAGATCCTCCTCACTAAGACTGATAAAGAGATTTTATGTGAAACCTTATTTTTTCAAAATGCTCTTTCATGAGTACCAGAATGGTCTGAGGACTCACATTCACATATCAACAAAACAGCTGCCCCTTAAAGGTCAGTGGTTAGAAAAGGATGATATTAAAGCAAATCCCTTGTTCTTCTTAGTTATATCTCCTCTGCTGAAGCAATTCCATTTTATATGAACAGTAAAATATTTGGGGTCACCTATGTTTTGACAGCTTTACTACTTGCTTGAGATGTGAGATAGATCATCTGAAGCACAGAGCTAATCAATTCTGAGAAGTCAGATTTGTATTTCTATTAAAATTGAATAAACTAGTAAAGTCTTCATTATGGAATGTGGGGGAAAGATAAATGGGGAAAAATTAATGTCTGAGTCTTTTGTTGTTTTATGTAGCAAGATCCCAAGATTGTGGACTATATCCAGACATAGGTGTTTGTATAACTATATGATTGCCTGTCCCTTACCATTTTACATTTCAGCTCCTATCACCTGCCCTCCTTCCTCCATGCCTTACTCCCTCGTTACTATTTATGCTTACCCTCAGTCATAGGCTGTTATTCTGAAATCAAAATACAAGGGCAGGAGAAGTGAGAGAATCCAATTTGAAACCAATTTTCCACAACGTCAGCCCAGTGGCCAAAAAGAGAAGTGGTTGGTACCCTCTGCATCCCTTGTATGCACAAAATATTCATTCTGGGAAGAAGGCTAAAGATTACATGTGCACCAATATCTTACATATATAAATGTGGCTTTAAGCAACTGTATTGGAAGTTACACAGTTGCTTGCTTTAAGGAGGAAAAAGTCAAGGGATCTGTGTGTCATATTTACTATAGATAATAACCTTTGTGGAAATACACAGTACTAAAAATAAACAAGTTATATGTATGTGCATATATGTTCAACCTGAAAATAAAACATTGCTAACTGGAAATTATAAAGAATGTCACATTTATTCTTTAGAAGTCTAAGCAACCAAAAATCTGAAAATTTTTTAGGGCAAGTTTGAAGTTTTTTTTCAAAACCTAAACTTTAGCTCCTGATTTGATTTAAGAGTTTCTCTTAAACTAATCTGTGAAACTCACAGTATGCAGAAACGGCAAAATTTATACAAATCTTCATGCAATAAAGTAAACATATTTTCCTGACCTAGTTTATATGTTGAAAAATTCATTTTAGTGGAAACCTTTTCTGTTAACCTGACCAGAATTATTCTTTTGTAAGATGTCCTTTATCTCTCCTTGCTCCTCAAACAACATGGAGACTGAAAAATCTAAAACTACTTTGGTTCTTGTGATATCTAAACCTGACACAAAGAGGTTTCCCATAATTTCTTCTGATTATGATTTGGGCACAATGAGAAAACGCTCCTGCCTCAAGTTAGCAATAGATGTTCTGCTCGTACTCACAGGGTAAATGAACTGTCCTGAGATCAGTTCTCACATTCAGTGGTGGAAAGGGAGGGAGGGAAGTGTAGAAACAGCTACACCCTCACACCAGATTCCTCAGATACACACGTCTGTGTTAGATAAAATAAAATGACAGTTCCCTTTTCTCTGTAGTTGCCTGGATAGGGAAAAAAATAACAAAACTAGGAAGAGGGGAGAAGGATATACTATATGCTGCTACTAATGTCTGTATGTAACCATGTGCCCTGATGTCAGATAATGCATATTTACTTAGGGCTCTAACTGATGGAACAAAGTAAACCAATTATTTGAGCAATTTTTTTTAGGAAAATGACAGAGGTTGACTATTTGTCAGATTCTAATGCAAACTCCTGCTTATTAGTGAAAAGTTTGGTTGTTCATATAATCAAAGTAGGAATATACAAATACATTTTAAGCTCATTTTTGGGTTGTCTTGATGATATTATCAGAAGGGAATTAGGAGAGACAACAGTTCACATGAAATTATGAGGTAAAGAGAGGAGAGACTTTGATACTGATATAAGAAAATATTGGAGGAATTGAGTATAACAGTCATTCAACAAGAAAATGCAGGAAAATATTTGAGTTGTCAGCTAACATGTTACTGATGAATTCTCAGAGTTTAGTCCTACTGAGAATCAAACTATTAATATGAAAAGAGATCTGTATCCCATTGCACGCTGAGCAGCACAGCTGGGTCAAAGAAAGGAAACTTTAACTCTGATACACTCAGTGATATCCCAGGATCAGATGGGGTAAGTTTTTATCAGAAACACCCAGCAGTTGACTGATAAGAACTAAATATAGGCTGAAAGTATAATGCCAAGGAGAGGGTAAATGCTACTGAATCTAATGAGTAACAAAGACATAAGCAGAAGCAAATATAGGATTAGAGTGATGTCTGCCAACTGAGCTTTGATGTTCATATGAAGCTTGTTTCCTCTGAAACAGACTTTTCCTTTTTATGCTTTATTTTTGTTTAGGAATACTGTTACTTCTAGATGAGATTTTCATTCAGCCCCACTGGTAATACCGCATTTTCCAGTATGGATAGGAGCACACATTCTGGTGTCTTTGAAGTCTTGATCAGTCAAAGATATAGCTGTGACTTTCTATGGACCACTAGAGAACTCTCAAGTAATTTTTATCATGTGTGATTGATGTTTCATAACAAATGTTTGCAAGATTTTTGGAATCAATATGACAAAAATACAAACATATTCTGGATATTCTGAAGCACACACAAAATACAAAACAAAGCAAGACCTTGGTATCACATCTAATCTAGGTTAAATTTTGGCATATATATGTTGGTCTCAAAAATCAATTTGCACCATTTTTCAGAGAATTGCATACATAGAACCTTTAAACAAGTTTTTATTTAATATGTAGGAGACAATAGGTTGAAGATCCTTTAATGTGAACTACTGATGGACAGATAAGGAGCTCTGTCACTGGAGACTGACTGATCTGAATGCAAGTCAGCCTCTGCTCAGGGACAGCTGACAAGAACACTGGAGTCACATCACCTTGGCACTCTGAGCTCATTAAAGGACACTTCCAAAGCTATATGGTAGAAACACAGCAGGTACAAAAGAAAATATCTGTGATACTGACTATTCTGCTGACATATGGATGATATCCCTATTAGCCATTGCACTGCAAAACTGCTGAAGTAGCTTCAGTCAAGGTGTGTGAATAATGAACATTTTCTAACATCCAAAAAGGACAACTGATTATAAAACTACTTCCAGGAAGCAAGAATATTCTACTTAGTCTTCTTGCAAGCTGCCCAAGTAGGCAGTCTATGGCAGGAAATCAGACTAAAGCAGCCCCCTAGCTTAGAAGAGTTGGGCGTTTTGAGTGTACTCTGCTTTAACTATAAAAATTATATTACTATATAATAAAAATTATATTATATTACTATATGACTTATATAACTTATATTACTATAAGCTAGGTTCAGGGAGGGCATTTATTGCAGCATGTCAAGGTAGACTGCATTTGGGTGACCTTTAGCTGCTCCGTGTAACATGCTTTTCCTTTGATTACTCTATTCTTAATGAGTATTGTTTCATTAGTACCTGTGGCTTTACTTTCACATCTAGAAAATCACACAGAAGCTGTTTCACAGAAAAGTTCTATGACACTGAGAAATATCTGGAGCTGACCCTTTTTAAGAAACAATTGAAAAAAGGACACTATTATAGTCTTTTTCTTCAGGACAATCTCTATCCAAACTTGACCATGGACAGAACATAAAAAGTTGCCAAATTATTATTGGAGATGGGGATTGGCTCTGACACAACATGAATTACTGCTGTCAAGTACTGATTGAGAACTGTTCAAATATACCAAAGTATTTGGTCTTGGGTCAAAGAAAAGCAAGGGGACTTCAGTTCCCATGACTTTCCTTGAGAACAGGAATTTTCTGAAAAAA